ATGCCTTCCCCCAACCCCCCAGCCTCAACATCTGGGTATCCTATGGTAGGAGCAAGGATACCTAGTGTGTGTTTTGTTATAGGAAGTGCCTGCAGGACAGTCTGTGGAAGATATGGTGGGACGGCCCGTGGTGCACCTTTCAGCAGTCAAACAGGCATGTGGAGAGGCTGTCTATTGTGATGACATACCTTGCTATGAAAACGAACGCTACTTAACACTGGTCACCAGCACAAAAGCCCATGCCAAAATTATGTAAGTGCACTGGCGTTTGTATTGTGTATCCAGCATTCCTGTTGGGCTGCTGGAGGATGTTTTCTGAGGAAGTTCTAGCTAACTGAGTATTGTTAGCTGCAGATGAACTGTTGAGCATTGGAAGTTGCAGCTGTTTGTGCCCTAAAGAAAATATTAAAAAAAAACAACGTTCCTGCTCATGCACGCATGGTGTCCAGCAGAGAGTGTGAAATTAGTGCTGTGCTCCAGCATGGATGTGAGTTTAGTTCTAGGCAAAGTCCTCTGCACTAAGCAGAGGGAAGTCCCATGCCCTTTGCGCTTGCACTTTTTTATACTCAAGAATGCAGGGTAAAAAATGGGGAGAGGGACGGGCACTGAATGGGTGTGTCTGAGGGTACGTGGATTTAAATACCATTCTCCATGCGCAGTTGGGACCTGCTTAGCTACATGCTGACCTTTTAGGCAGGAGCAACTGATCGCTCCACATCAGCACTCATTTGGTAATGCAGGATTGCGTTCCTTTGTGCCCCTGTCCTGTTCTTCATTCTTTTACCTTAAATACATAACCCTGCACACCTGATCTGGACAGGCTCAAGCCTCAGTGGAATGATAACTGAATGGATGAATGAGTTTCTAATGATAGGAATAAAGCTCTTTATACACTATACAAATTATATACATCCTTACTAATTAGAAAGACAGTTGGCTCTAGACATGTTTTGTCCAGACACAGCATGGCTAATGCATGGGTTGTATCTATGGCAAAATTGACACATGATCAGCTGCCTATGTCCTAGCCTGGCACATGATGTCAGAACATTTATTTTGCAGTGTTGACTGGACCCCTTAACTCTCTGTGTTGGTTAGTTCTTCTTTCTCCTAGTTCTCTATGGGGCAGGACACCCCAGAGTGCATTGCCCCACTTGCTGCTGTGTGAGTTTCCTTTAGGCATTCTGCCCCTTCCTCGGGCACTATGGGATAGCTCCCCAGATTTTCCCCAGAATGCACTAATACATGTCAGGCAGTGTGGTAATCACGGCTGCACAACCTCGGTTGAACAACTGGTTGGGAAATAAGTTGATAACTCAACCGCTGATGTTGTAACTTGGGCAAAGAATGTTGTAAACTGATTACAAAAAACAGTTGTACTTATAGCATAGATGTGGCCTTTAGAGAAGGAGAAGACCGTCTTATTTATCCTCCTTGAATAAATCTGGATCCTTCCCTACAGTGTACAGTATTTTCTGGTGGGTGCCTTGCCTACTCTCCTTGTGCGTATTGTGTATGTGTTGCAAACAGTAAAGTCATTCCAAACTGTAGAGGAGCCGGGAGAATAGTTACTCAGATCTGGAGGAAAGCATGTCAGCCTATAGATTCACTGGGTGAACTCCCATTTACTTCAACAGGGATAGGATTTCACCCACTGTCTCCAGCAATAATCATTTAGCAAAACTGTGTGTGTGTGTGTGTGTGTGTGTGCGCATGCCTGTATATTACTGGCTTGGAGATCATTTGTGGGTCATATTTGAATAGAGGAAAATGAACTGGTCAGTGAAATATGGCATGACCTTCAGCTCCTGATTGTGTGAGAGTTCATGTGTGATCGTTCAGACTCCCCAGTTTACAATGTAAGATGTTCTTTTTATGCATCCTGATTAGCTATTGGCTTTTCACAAACTACTACTTTAGGGCACAATTTGTGTGGGAGTTTTAGAAACCTAAACCAACAGACTGTGCTAATACTGCAGCTATTTTGCCGAAGACAATACATCATTCAGTTGGGGCAAACAAACCACAGCCCTTTCTATGTTAAATGGTTCCATTGTTAATCCAGCCAATTACATGTGGACATCACAAAATGCTGCAGAGCGAGCTCTAATGTCTCTTGTAATATGTTTTTATGAAGAGCTTTATATAAAAATCAACTGTTCTATGGGTTTTTTGGTCATTGTTCCATCCATCACTCACAAACATTTAATGGTACGTCTGTATACAGCTTCTGAAGACAAATGTTTGGCTAAATACCTCATTTGGTGACCAATGAAGACATTTAATGAAATCTTTTGTCTTTGGATTTTCCTTTTCTTTCATATCCAGTCAAATGCACATCAATCATAAATGAACGCTTAGGACCCAAGCATCGTCCAGACCACCGGCCCTGTTTCTCCTCAGAGGGGGTTGCATCTCAGTGTTGATAAATAGACCTATTTATTATGTTTATGTTGCACCTTTTGTCCCAGAGGAATCCCAGGTTTCACAAACTATATACAGAGATCAGTCCTGGCACTATTAGTCATACCTGAAGTGTGACATAGCAGCTGGGAGGGGAATTTAGGTAGGCAGAATATAACTGGCTAGTAGGCCATCACATCAAACCACAAACTATCTCTTGCAAAAAGATCCATGAGATTTTTAAGAACCACAATGATCAGAAGGCCAAAACAGTGTTATGTCTTATCTGAAAGTTGTATATTATAGTATTGTCTGGAAAAGTAGATTAATTCAGTGGTTGGGAGTCAGACTGGAAGTCAAGAAACCTGGATTCTGTTCCTTGTGTAAACTTAGGCAAGTCACTCCACATCTCTGTGCTTCAGTTCCCCTCCGTAAACAGAGATAATAGTGCGTACATACCTTTTAGAAAGCACTTTGAAATCAATATATTAAAACCACTTCATGAGTATTTAATGGTTATTTCCTGTATTAACCATAATAATAGATATTTCCATCCTCCTTAGCATGCACTTGTCTGGAAAATGTTGGTATACTACGAGTTCATTGATAACTGAAGCACCTTTGACTAGCTGTAGCTGAAAACAGAATACTACAGAAAAAAGTTTTAGCTAAATGTCATTGTCAGTGGTCACTGAAACAACCATTTTATCAGACTGTCTGTTTACACGATTTTAAATTGTAATCACACTTACAGGCAAGTGTAAATGGTTTACAAGCGAGCCGAAAAATACAAGGAGATCAATACCCAATACAAGGAGCTCTCTCTGTGTATATCTATTTATCTAACTAACTAAGATATTTTGTTTATGCATTCTCTTATTGGTTAACAATTCATGTGAGTGAGATGCTTATCTCTCAGAGTAGCATATTGTAGAAGGATCTAAATATATTCCTTTATGGACTACTAATTTCTTAATGTTGACAACAACCAGACAGTCATCCTTCCAGAGTGTTTGACCATCCCGACTCCTGGATTCTATTGGCATGATTCTTCACTGCCTTGCCCCTTGGGTAGCCATTTACACCTGCGCTAAAGGAGTACAAAGTGTTACCATTCTGATCTGGCATCACTCTACACCCGCCCTGCACACCTGTGAATGACTGGACAGAGGGCAAGAGAGTCAGGGCAGAAAATCAGGCCCTGTAGAATCTTTAATATGCCATGCAAATTTATAGTGCCATGTACAAGAAAAATAGTAATTCTCTGCTGTTTATGTTCCTCACTTCTTTAGTTCTATAGATACAACTGAAGCCCAGAGTGTCCCCGGGTTTGTGTGTTTCGTCTCTGCTAAGGATATTCCTGGGAGTAATGTCACTGGGATTGCTAAAGATGAACCTGTTTTTGCTGATAACACGGTATGTAGTATCAGAGGGGTAGCTGTGTTAGTCTGGATCTGTAAAAAGCAACAGAGAGTCCTGTGGCACCTTTAAGACTAACAGATGTGTTGGAGCATAAGCTTCGTATTCACCCATAAAAGCTTATGCTCCAACACATCTGTTAGTCTTAAAGGTGCCACGGGACTCTCTGTTGCTTTTCACGGTATGTAGTTTCTTATCCTTTTTAAAAAAGTTGTCTGTATGGAATATAAAAGGCCAAGAGATTGTGGGGTTAATTACTTCTGGGGAAGTTCTCCGCAATATGTCAGTGGTAGTTTTGACATTAACTTTGATGGGGCCAGGATTTCTGCCCCTGAATGTTCTTCTTTAAACAGCAGACAGCTGCAACAAACTCACCCAGTCCTGTTACCAATGATAGAAGATGCCATGTTTTCACGCAACGGGATATGAGTATTTACTGACTTCCACCTGTCTGGGTGACTCTTAAGCCCCAGGTTGGTGGCAACAAATCATTAAGCTGGATTTACATCAGTGTAGATAAAATCAGAATATTTCTCACTATACTTGAAGCTGGTTTTAATTGATTTGCTCAAAAAAATATGTTGCACAAAAAGAAATCAATGTGAGCCTTTCAGTGATTTATTATGGTGAGTATTGGAATCTCTTTTTATGCATAGGTCACTTGTGTTGGCCATATCATTGGTGGAGTGGTTGCAGACACACATGAACATTCCCGAAGAGCTGCTAAAGCTGTAAAGATCGAATACGAAGACCTCACACCTATTGTCACCATTCAGGTAGGATGGCACAGCTTTGATCATATGGTTAGTGAGTCTAAGACCCCTAATGCCTGCTTCAGTCCTGTTTTCCTGAATATGGCTAATTGTGTCGTTGTTGTTGTGTATTAAGTCACTCATGTTTTTAGCATTTGTGACATAGCTCTATCCTGATGGGTGTGGTAGAAGAGCCTAAATAAAACAAAATAAATCTCTGATATTATATTGGTTGGGAATGGAATCACAGGACTGGAAGGGGCCTCGAGAGGTCATCTAGTCCAGCTCCCTGCACTCATGGCAGAACTAAGTATTATCTAGACCATCCCTGACAGGTGTTTGTCTAACCTGCTCTTAAAAATCTTCAACGATGGAGATTCCACAACCTTCCTAGGCAATTTATTCCAATGCTTAACTACCTTGACAGTTAGGAAGTTTTTCCTAATGTCCAACCTAAACCTCCCTTGGTGCAATTTAAGCACATTGCTTCTTGTCCTATCCTCAAAGGTTAACAAGAACAATTTTCCTCCCTTTTCCTTGTAGCAGTCTTTTATGTACTTGAAAACTATTATGTCCCCCTCAGTCTTCTCTTCTCCAGACTAAACAAACCCAATTTTTTTCAATTGTTGCTCATAGGTCATGTTTTCTAGACCTTTAATAATTTTGTTGCTCTTCTCTGGACTTTCTCCAATTTGTCTACATCTTTCCTGAAATATGGCACCCAAAACTGGATAGTACTCCAGTTAAGGCTTTATGAGCACAGAGTAAAGTGGAAGAATTACTTCTTGTGTCTTGCTTACAACACTCCTGCTAATACATCCCAGAATGATGGTTTGCTTTTTTTTGCAACAGAGTTGCACTATTGACTCATATGTAGCTTGTGATCCACTATGACCCCCAGATCCATTTCCGCAGTGCTTCTTCCTAGGCCGTCATTTTCCATTTTGTATGTGTGCAACTGATTGTTCTTTCCTAAGTGGAGTACTTTGCATTTGTCCTTATTGAATTTCATCCTGTTTACTTCAGACCATTTCTCCAGTTTGTCCAGATCATTATGAATTTTAATTGTATCCTCCAAAGCGCTTGCAACCCCTCCCAGCTTGGGATCATCCACAAACTTTATGGCTTGGTCTACACTACCCCCCTAATTCGAACTAAGGTACGCAACTTCAGCTACGTGAATAACGTAGCTGAAGT